AGATAACAAATAATTACAAAATACAAGAACACATGCAAAGTATTTCAGGCACTACCCATGTATAATGCGCATGCTTATCTTTCCCTCAGAACTCTGGGCAAGAAAAGTGCTCATTATACATGGCAAAATAAAGTAGTCTGTGGACTGGCCTCTTCGACCATGTTCCAGGATGACAATGAAAGGACGTGCAGCCCTGGTTTGGCCTTATTTCCAAGTTTGGTCAGTTTTTATTAAGCGGGTGCTGGATGAGAGAGTGTCTTAAGAGGAGGCTCAGCACCCGCCCCCGGGAGGAGCGGCGGAAGGAGACTTTCAGCCCGGAGAGGATCGGTTGGGCGCCCAGAGGCTCCCCGCACCATTATTCTTAAATACAAGCCCTAAATATACATTACCGTTTTAGAGTACAGAGGTTATGTTCACACCATTTAAAAGCAGAAGTTAAAAGGCTATCTAAAGAACCAAATAAACAAAACAAACAGACTTGCAAATACAGAGATCAGACTGAGAGTTGCCAGAGAAAGGGCTGGGGGTGGGGGGCGCGGGGGTGGGGGGTCAAGCAGCACAAACTGACAGCTGTGCTATGTTTAACTATGTCTGGTGCCAGGCGGGTACCTGAATGACCAGGGGGGTCACTTTATATGTCACGTGGTTGTCTTGGCGCGATGCTGTACACCTGAAGCGAATAGAAAATGGTATCGAAAGTCAACTGCAATTGAATAATGAAATATTTAAAGAAAAGCCATCACAGGGAAGGGGAGGGTAAGACGGCCCTGAGGGGCTCAGAGGAGAAACCAGGGCAGCAGTGGAAGGGGTTTGGTATCAGCAGAAGAAAGAGCTTCCTCCTCCTCAAAGGGCTTCGGGGCACGGGGCGGGGTGAGGGGGGCAGTGTGCGCCTGCGGAGCAAGAACATTGCCTCCCTCTGGGGCCCCTGCAGCGGGACGGCCATCACACCCACACAGAGCAAGAGAGGGACACAGGCAAAGGGCGTCACACGTCACAGGAGGACTGGACCAGGCTAGGTCTGAGATCCCTTGCAAAATGGAGCTTCTGTCATTCTGCAAAATCGGAGTCCATTGAAAACTTAAAAGCGCCTTTCCCACGGCTTAACGTTCTATATCCTGGGGACGAAAGCCTAGGGAGTCGGTCTCAGTATCTGTGTCCCCACAATGGCTGCTGCAGCAAAACCTTCCGGTAACGTTTTTCCATTGAAAAGAAAGTTACAATTCACTTCAGCTTTGCCTTTTTGTACAAGTCCTGCTGCTGAGAGAAGTGCATTCACAGTTTTGTTGTTTTTGTTGTTATTTGGGGGAAAGGGTTTGGTTGGTATTTTAATGGGACTAAATCTCAGTGTCTCAGATTTGACACTTTTCCCCCCCTCTCCACTCAAGTCATTGAAATATATTCACCCAGTCATTCACATCAGAGGTGTAAATGGATTTTCTGAAGGTTTTTTAAGAGACGATCAAAGCCACTTTAAGAGACGATCAAGTCACTTTCAAGTCACTTCGTGAGTTGACTTCCTCAGGTGTTGCTGTCAGAAAGCTTGCCACACCATCCCAATTGCAAGGATGCTAAAACTATGTCCTGACCTTGAATCTGCAAGGAGGGCAGTAATATCTTTTGCTAGAAGTGCTCATCCACCGCCTCTTGGTTTTAGCCATTTGTATAGAATTTGCTTGTGAAAGAGAAGAAGAAGGAATCAAATTGAACCTTTAGAGCCTGAGAGAAAATAACATGTTTATTTGACTTTCCACTTTCCAATGATTGTTGCTATTACAGTTTAAATTTTTAGGTCACCCTTTCTATCATTGATATTTGCAAAAACCTGATTAAAAAAAATGTATTGGCCATGTCATGCAAAGGCTTATTTCTCAATTTGTTTCATGTCGTCAAAAAGATGTACTGAGTTTCAAGCTCTTCTCAGGTTTACTCTTAAAATATAACCCTGGGGAAACAGAGTAAGATTGCAAACTTGTTATTTATACCACTCAGGACCCCAGGCTCTGGAGTCAGGAAGCTAGAGATTGAATTTCCAGCCTCATCTCTTTATATTCTACTCAGTGTCTCTGAGTCTCAGTTTGCTTCCCCAGTAGCTGGAGAAACACTAGTACCTGGCCCATAGGGTTGCTGTGCAGATTATACAAGGTAACATACATTAAGTCCTCAGCCCATCATCTGACAACATAAGTGTTCCATAACTATTAGCTGTTATTATTTCAGTATTAATTCTAATGACTTCACCAAAACTTAATGATGGAGATCTTGCCTGGATTAATGGCGCCGGGGTTGACTCGTTTCCTGATGCAACTGAAAAGCAGGTTTCAGCATTATGTAACAATTCACTCTTGGTTAAAGAACTTGAACAGCCATTTTTCAGAAAATAATTCTTGAATCCAGAATTAGAAAATACATCCTACTGGTGAGGAAATTTTTAATACATTAGGAGCCAATATTGTAAGTTTTGGGGAGAACTGCAAAGAAACTGCTGTGTGTTTGGTGACGATACATTTGAATATCAGGCAGGCAAACCTGCAGCTCCCAGGGTTCTCCCTCCCACCGTAACGACCTCTCTAAGAATTGGTTGTCAGCTTGAGACCAAGGCCATACGGCAACAAATCCCTACCTACATCCCTGAGGAGAACCCTGTAGAAGGCCACATGGGCTGCTGAGACCTGCCACCCAGGGCCAGGGGTTTAGTGGAATCAGTTCTGATTCGCAGTCAGACCAAGCAGGCTCGGGTCTAGGCTTTGCTGCTTATTTTCTCTGTGACTCTGGGCTGGTTGCTTGGCTTTTCTGAACCCAGTGTCCTCGTCTGTAAAATGCGGCTATTTTATAACCTAAGTCCTTCAAGAGGGGAGGGTCAAATTTTAAAACGTGCATAAAAGTGCAGAAGCGAAATACCATTGATAGTACTGGTGGTGGTACTGTCACTAATACAATGCCAGTCTTGCAAAGGAGAATAAATGGGACCAGCAAGAACATGGGTTCCTGTGAACTGTAGGTGACACCAGTGTGGCTCTGGCTCCTCAAATACAAGACAAATGTCCCCAGGCTGGTGATGAGCTCAGCCTTCTTCCTGGGTGAAAACCCTCGTCCTATCACAGACATTATACATTATCAGTATTATTGATAGTCTGAAATTAATATTAAAATAAGTTTCTATTTTTTAAATCTGAATTTAGGGGAGATAACAAAGGTAAAACTGGCTAGGTAATAAATGAAGTCAAATCCATTTTCCACATACAAAGTTCCTTACCAGCTCATTATTCCTTCGCTTTAAATTCTTCAGCACTTTGCCATTATTGGTAGATCAACTCCAAACTCCCTCTCTTGGCCTGCAAGGCCTTTGGTGATCTGGCCTCTGATTCCTCCATTTTATACTTGACTCCCCACCCTGCTCAACTTTTTGTGGTTCTGTGGATGCCCTTCCCTCGTCCTGAAGCAGCCTTACCCGCTTTCTGCTGGATCGGTTCCCATTAATTCATGTAATTAATGAAACAGCGCCTGGCATATAAGTGGATGTTCAATAAATGTTTAAACAAATTGACTTGAAATCAGGTGGCTCCCATATAGGCTGAAACAGCCAGATACTTTTATTTCCACGTGGCCTTGTAAAGTTTGGGATTCTTGCTAAAGTCTGAAAATATTCCATGTCATTAAAAGACAATAACTCTTATAAATTATTCTGGCATTTTGCACATCTAGCTCACTTAAACGTGCTAATGAGAACCTGTTTTATAGACACCAATGGAGCTGAAAAACCACAATACATGTTTTAAGAAATAGACTAAAAATATAGCACAAATTAAAATGTTGCTCCTGTTGTCCATTGCAAAAGTTTGCACAACAAAGAAGCATTTATTCTCTTATTGAACAATAAAATAGGCCCGTGTGTGAATATTCACATGAGCATATTCCTAAGAAAGTCATAAGAGCAATGTTCATATATAAAGTAAGCCAGTCCCTCTTGCGCCACATACAAAAGAATTTAGTAACTGTTTGGACAAAGGACTTCCTAAAGGACTGTTTTCCCAAAAGTAATGAAGTGGTACCATATAAAGATCCCGGGTAGAGTCTACTCTCGGTCTGTCTGTCTATCTTTCTCTCTCACCTACACACATGCACACAAACTCTGGAATTTTAAAGTTCCTAGTAGAATTCATTAATAAAAATAGGAAATGCTTGCCTTGTATAAATCATGAGGAAGTGTGGAGAGGTTAAGGAGGCACTAAGGGGCTGATCATCATCTCCTGCCCTATGCTGAAATCTGGCACCCCCAACTCAAAACACCTAGTTTAAAAGATTTACCTTCCAGAAACCTGAAAGTTTGTATCCTGCCTCATCGACAACAGCCTCAAACTGTTCCTTGTCATCTCAGAAAACAAATCTTTTGCTCCTTCCTGCCTAGGGGAGGCAGAGGGACCGAGGTGGTCCTATGTGGCCGAATTAGATGAAAGACTTGCCTTCCACCATGGAGACATGGAGTCTAATCAAGTGAAATGAGTTTTGAGATCCCGGCTCGTTTCCTGGGGGAGATCGGTTCGCATTAAAAAATCACGACATCTCATTCATCACAACTGACGTGGTCTTTGCTCAGGAGAGGACCCCAACTGGGACTGAACCACCTGTCTTCCCTTGAAAAGAGGCACTTTATCCAAGTTAGAGTGGAAAGCCTTGGAGTCAGAAAGCTTGCCAGCTCCCACCCCAGTGATGCATATGCAGTGTGGAAGGCAACTTAAGTTTCACAAAGGGGAGAAGAGTTTCATAAAGGAAGATGGGTGGTTGCAGTTTTCAAGCCGCCGTGTACGAACAACTATGATAGAGATGCTGGGGCCTTGTGGCAGGGAGAGCCAAGATCGGGGCTCCTTCTTCTCTATCGCCCAGGTTTTATTAAACAGAAGTGCAAAAGATGAGCATTCCCATGCATCAGAGTTTACAATGGCAAAGAAAGTGTCCTGATTTGCACGCTGATAAATGACCTTCATCTCCTTTATTTCTTTCAGGGCATCATTGTCACACCCCTGCTTCTGCTGCTGTTTGTGAGTATTTTCACGTCGTCCTTCATATCTTTTATTAAAAGCTGTCTACAACCCTTGAAGGAAGGGCCATTAAAATAAAATTGAAATTTGCATCCTTTGTGTGACTTTGCAGCACAGTTTTGAACGGTTCTGCCAGTTGAGCTGCACCTGTAAATAACACATGGACCCAAAGGGCCTCTGTAGTCTCATGATCCAAGGCTGGCACCAGGACCCAATTATTAAGCCTCCAACTCATGGCTAAATCATTATTGTTACAAACTAGTGACCTGTGACACAGGTCACAAACGTGCTGCTCTTTATTTTCTCATTAGTAAAACTAAAGTGATTGCTAGTGACCCAGTATTTGATAGAAAGGGCCTTGGACTTGGGAACCAGAGGAAGCTTAGGTTCCAAGGCTGATAATCACTGGCTTCATCGCTTTGGTGAAAACTGCCTCAGTTTTTCATTTGTAGAATGGGGAACAATACCACCTACCCCAATCTGCCTCCCAGGGATAATAAAATGTGCTTTAGAAATAAAAAATACAAGCCACTGGTTAACTAAACAAAAAATTGTTCAGAAAATACGAAATGCTAATTAGCTGTCTTATTTCTTTGGGTACTAAGCATATGAGAAATTAGATGAAAAATTATAATAGAAATTAATGTTATCTCATGCTGAGAAAAGCATATGTAATCATGAATGATACCTAAAATATTTTATGAACTGTGCATTTTTCATACACACATCTCCCAAATATAAATCACTCCACTCATCACTGAAATGGAGTGGGGATGCGTTTCTGGGAGTGAAATGTAGCTGTTTAAGTAGCACTATTTGTCAGTGAATTAAAACTATGGGGAAAATTTATTTAATTATGGTGTAATTACCCAAGTTGGAATTCAATTAGAGTAACAGAGTAAGGGACTTCATTTCTTACAAGCTGTGTAGGAAGTGGAGAGGGAGAGATGTACTACTAAACAGTTGGGTTCTGCATCATTCATGAAAGACATTACCTTTAAGTACAAAGCCTCATTCTTTCCTTCCCTTCTGAAACCCTAGCTTCATTTTGACAAGGTAACAAGAGTCAAGCAATCAGATGATTTCCCTCAACATAACAAACATCATTCATTTGGGCTTCACCAATTCAGAATTTGCAGTGAGTCCACGTGAAACTAAAGTGAATATTGATTCGCGTTCGTTTGAAGTGCTACACTTGGCATGTGCCTGCCTGCGCACTAGATGGGAGGAACTGGGATCATCCCGGGGCGTTGTTTCCGAGACCTGGGGTCACAGCTTCCCAGGGCAGTGCCGCACACGCAGGATGCAGGCCGGGCTGAGGTCCCCACTGCAGTGGGTCACAGGGACCAGATAGAGCCTGGTGTCCAGGAAGTGTGCAGTAAATGGCTGTACAGCCTAGGTTTTCTCCCTTGGAAACATGAGGCATCTCTTACTCATGTGACTCATTTAAGAAAATCAAGGAGATGTCAGAGCTGCAACTAGAGGGCCGCGACCTGGGGTAGCATCTCTCAAAGGCTGCCTCTCTGGGACCCTGTTTTGGCTCATGACTGAAGAACTAGATGAGTACATTTTTTCCCTCTCCTTCCCATCTCCGTGCTGCAGAGGTTTTCTCAGCTGATGAATATTTTGGCATCATGCTACAGCTAACTTTCCCCCACTCTTGGAACCATAGGCTTGTGAGCTTTCATTGATTCAACATTCTAAAATAATAGAGCAAAAATAATAGTGAAAGAGACCCCAAAACCCTCAGATTAAAAGTTTAATGCTTCCCTCTGAGCCAGCTGGGCTGTCCCAGTAGGTTCAATGGCATCATCACACAACATCAATAGATACGTTTATGTTTTCTATTAAATGACATGCACACTATATAGTACTTTTTGCCTCTTTGTGTTGTCATGTATCTTACAGACAATGGGCTTTGCTGAAATACTTGGGTTACCAGGCCTCATTTACTGAGCAGGACAAACACCCAAGCAGCTTGAAAGATGAACACATGCCATAAAAGATACGGATTTGTTTGTTAGTTTGTTTTTATGAACACCCCTGTGATAGGTTGAGTTATGTCCCACAAAAAGAAAAGTTGAAGATCTAACCCCAAGCACCCCAGCATGTGACCTTATTTGAAAATAGTGTCATTGCAGATGTAATTAGCTAAGATGAGGTCATTCTGGTAGGGTGGCCCCTTACTCCAACAGGACTGGTGTCCTTACAAGAAGAGAATTCAGAGACACACAGGGAGAATGTCGCGTTGTGATGGGAGCAGAGAGGCGAGCGATGCGTCTACAACTCCAGGAACTCCAAGGATTGCTGGCCCGCTTCAGAAGCCAGATGAGAGGAGGAGGGGCTCTCCCCTGCAGATCCCATAGGGAGCACAGCCTTATGGATTTCAGGCTTAATAGCTTCCAGAACTGTGAAACAATATTCTTCTGCTGTTTTAAGCCACCACGTTTGTGGTGTTATATCACAGAAGCCAAAGAAACTAAAACAACACCTGAAAATTGAATTGTCTTTTTTTAAAAACATATTTTGAGGATGGAAATTCCTGGAGATTCGGTTGCAGTAGCTAGTAAAGGCCGTGATTGTTGGTGGAATCCTGTTCCCTGGATTATTAACCTCTGCTCAGTATGTCCCCTTCCCCATCTTGCTCCATCTGAAGTGCATCTTCTGATTCATGGTTCTACCTCAGGTGCCTTTCCCATCACTGGGCCTTTAAATGGAATGAAGTGTCTGTCTGGCACCTCATTACCAATTGCAGATCACTTTCCACGACTTCTCCATAAACCCCTTCATTCCTTTGAAGGTCATTGCCAATGCACCTCTACTCTCTGCCACTGCCCTTTGTGTAATTATCAGCAGAACCCTAGGTCACACTCTGTGAGTTCAGAAACTGTTAGCAGCTATTGTCTTCTTTGTAACAGGAACCTAATTCTTAGCGTCCTCAATATGCACACAGTTGATCCTCTTAGCACCCTGGCCTCTAAATTCTTGCCCTCTTCTTCTCCCATAAGATTGCTTTCCAGTTCATTTCAGCCAGCCACCGCTATAGTCAGACTCTGACCTTATTACTGCCAGTAACTGCATCCTTCCATAATCCTATTTTTGAATGTCTTTTCCTACCAGTAACTTCTATCTTTGTGACTTATTCCCCACATTAAAAATTCCTCAAACTTGCTGGAATGGACAATTTATTTACCTTATCACCTTAACAATGCCTCTAAGTATCCCACCCTACCTCCCCCACCCAACCCTCACATCCCATCTTACCTAGTCTAGATCTCATGGTCCATCACTGTAATCACTTTATTGCATACACCATCAACAAGCAACCTGGTCATCTCTTACTGCTTCGTATTTGCCTGCAAAATTCCAAGCCTGCTTAAATTCAACTCCACGACTTTCTGTATGTGCGCCTGAACACGCCGGGGCATACCCTGTCATGCTGCCTGATCTCATTTGAAATTCATGACAACGCACTGTGAGTGGGCTAGACAATCCCACCACCTCCCCCTAATTAATTCACATTCCCACTTTCTAGAAAATTATTTTACACCTTCTCCTTGCCTCTCAAATCTCCAATGCTTCTCTTCTTTCATATCGACTGATGCAGAAAGGAATTTAACTAATGAGGAAATTAGGAGCCATCAGAAAAATTTTACAAAATCTTACCTACCTGCATCTATATTCTTCATCTCTTCCCCTGCTTCTATAGATAAATTGCCCTTAATCCCATCTAAGGCCAGTGCCTCTACTGGTGTCATCTGTTATTGCTTACTTAACAATATGTGTCACACAGATTTTACTCTTTCTCCTATATTATCAAACTTCCTATCTCTAATGAACAATTTCTACTGGCATATAAGTATTCTGTAACATTACATATCTTAAAAATTAAATCTTACCTTATCCTACCCCCACTCCATTTCCATCCTCTCTTTTCTAGCAAAATTCCTCCAAAAGTTATTTGAAACTTACTCATCACTCATTCGGTAATATGTATTGACTTCTTTCTTCCAGACACTTCCCTAGGTGCCAAGGTTATAGCAACGAGCAAAACAGAAACATCTTTGCTCTAAAAGAGGTTATATCTAGTGGGAGGGGGAAACCAACCAACAAATAAATAAAAATATAGTGTGTAAGATGGGTGATATGTGCTAAAGGGAAAAATAAAATAAGGAAGGGGAACAAGAAGAGCCAGAATGGGAGATTGCTATTGTAAATAAGGAGGTCAAGGTTGGACTTACTGAGAAAATTATATAGTAGCAAAGGCCCAGAGGAGATAAGGGAGTGAACCTTCTGGAGGCAGAGGGTTCCAGGTGGAAGGAACAGCGTGTACGAAGGTCATGAAAGTGTGCCTGGCGTTGTTAAGGAGCAGCAGGTGTGCCTGGAATGGGGCGAACGAAGGGGAGAGTAGATGGAGATGACGCTGAAGAAAATGATGTAGGACCTTGATGTCCTTTGTAAGGATTCTGAATTTTAATTGGAGAGAGACAGAAAACCATTAAAAGAGTTTTGATCAAGGAAATGGCGTGTTCTGACACATTTTCTAAAAGAGTGATTCTGGATGCCAGGTTAAGAGTAGATTGTAAGGGGATCATGGTGGAGACCGGAAGACCCATTAGAAAGCCAGCGTAATGCCATGGCAAGAGACGCTGTTAGCCTGGCAGGGTGGGTGAGTAAATCTGGTGGGAAGTAGTTGAGTGTAGAATTTGAAAGAACTGAGAGAGTGAATAAAGGTTGTGAGGGAAAGATCAGAGTCGAGGATGACTCCAAGCCCGTGCAACTGGAAGGAAGGCATTTGCACTTACTAAGACATTGAACACTGTAAGATAGAGCAGGTTCAAGGAACTCATAAGGAGTTTAGTATTGGACATGTCTGGATTAAGGTGCCTGTTAGACCTCCAAGTAGAGACATCAAGCATGCAGTTGACTATATGAGTCTGCAATTCAGAGGAGATGTCTGGAGCAGAGATTCATAATTGGGCAGCATAGAAAGGATTTTA